GGGGGGGGGGGGGGGGTGAGCTGGGATTTAGGGAGAATTTGCTTCTGTCTGTGGAGGCTAACTCTATTTCACTCTTTTACTCTGCATCCCTCTGTCTCGTCACTCTTATCTCCCCTTCGTCCTCCCAACCACGTTCACTCGGTCCAATGAAACGTTTCCCTGGGGAATAGCAGGCGGATTTATCACCGGGGATGTCGTTCACTGTTTGGGTCTGGTAGGAAAATGGAGGCGTTTAGAGACTAGGTGCTTATACGCTTTGCAAATGGAGCTGCAGGTTTGAAAGTTTTCGCCTAAAAGTCAGTGCTGTCAGACATATTCTGTCTCTTCATGATGTAGAGAAATGGCTGTTTGCGAGGTTTCTTCTTCTCCTCATGTCCCAGGCTAACGGCTTAAAATAATCTCTGAAATTCACTGACCTTTATGAATGATTCAAAGAAGGAAAAATATGTCAATTGGGCAATATATTCAAGCACACAAAGTAAGAGCTTCCGCTTCTGTGTCTCAAATGAATTTTTCCCGGAGCCCTTTGTGCCTTTTGGATGCTGTACCATCATTTCTGTTTAGAAATAACAAATTAAAAGATATTTAGGTGCACATATTAGGTTTGAAATGTAGCTTTTAAACTGGCGTTGGATGGTAACTAAATAAAACGCAGCACCATGTAGTGGATGGCTGATGAGTGGGGCTCGTTTTGCTGGACGAGTTGCAGTCACTGATTCAACCATGATCTCCTTTGTATACCAAAATATTCCATATTCAGCTATCTGACAATAAAAACTCTGCTAAACCCTGCATGCAACAGGACGATGTTACCAAACAAACAGAGTGGAGGAGGTGCATCATGGGAGATCCCCAAACAATCATAGCGTAACTATGGAACCTGATCCATCCTTAACTGAAGCATATGTAAAAAAACGGCAGTTTTAAGCTGATTCTTAAAGGTAGAGAGGGTTTCTGGTTCCGTAAAGGAGGGGGAAATTCTTTGGAAGTCACTGTCCATAGCAAATGTCTGAAGCAAACTCTCTCGAAACTCTTATCTGCGGAACAGAGGAGCCCGGGAGGCCGGCGGGCGGATTCACGCGGGACCCGTCTCAGCTGCAGGGCTCCATCCTGCAGACGGCGCTGAGGAAAAGCCCCCAGGGGTTCGGCTTCACCATCATCGGGGGGGACCGGCCAGATGAGTTCCTTCAGGTGAAGAACGTCCTTCCAGATGGGCCCGCGGCCCACGACAACAAGATTGCCTCAGGTAACTCGCCATGGCGACGTCACACCTTCAAACGCGTCATATGTGTGTGTGTGGGCTGCGTCGGTTTAGCAAAGATGTGAAATCACTAGGATTCTATTCCATGTATTAAAAGCGTGATCCAGGCCGCCTTTTTTTTGCTCAGAGCGTCCCAAATGTCAGGCCGACGTTTATAGGCAGCCCATCGGAGAAGTGGCAGCAAAAAACCGGACCATGTGTCCCGGTTTACAGCCGCCACCCGCTTTTACCTTCACCCATAAATTGGAGTTTTAATTGGCCCGAACGCTGGTTGTCATTTGATGGCCGGAGGGCGTGTTGCACACGGCCGGTGCTTTCAGGCGTCGCTGCTCAAATAAGAAGGAGAGTCCCTCGTAAAAGGTTCACAGCATCGCTTTTTGTGCGTGTGTGTGTAAGTGTGTGTGTCTGTACAGATACCGCGGTTGTTAATGAAAGTAATTTGAATAACAGGGAGATGCCCTGGGATTCCCATCACACTGACACATCCACTGCTGTTGAGAATCGATGTGAAAGAATCATTCCTCTCAGTGTTTTTTTGTCGCTTAAAACAGAGGGCTAATTGCAGTGGCGGCTGGTGAAAAAAAATCTTGGTGGGGCTGGTGTGCCAATATATTTCCCTGCCTAACCCAGTACATGCATTGAAGTTAAAAGTCGTAAAATTAGTACAATTCCACAATAATGATTTAATTCCCTTATCAGAATCAGCAGTTTACATATACATTTAACCATTTGAAGCTATATTAGGTATTATTTTGGAAGGGAACAGTATGAAATACAACACTCAATTTTACTATTTTTCACCAAACACACAAAGTAGGCACACAGGTGGTTAGCTTAACACAGTTAGCTTAACACAGTTTTCCATATAACCTCGTGATATTTCATGTTTCTTAGTTGTTCAGAGAGGTGTTTTAAGTATGTCTGTCCAGACTGTGTCCACGTCAAATCACTCCGGTCACTTTTAAAAGGAATGCGGGAAAAACATAAAAGTGCATTGGCCGTCCCACCGGCTGTCAGCCAGGACTTACGCTGGAACCAACTCCTGTTAAAGTGCCGGCTGTGGGACTTAGCTTTTTCATTGGTTCGCTTCGTTAAATTTATTTCGGACTTGTCAGGTCCCAGCTTCTTTACGTTTAATTTTTTACCATTGTCCTTCTCACGAAAGGAGAACTCAGTAAAGATCTCACTGTGAAAGCTGCTCTACAACTGTCGCCGTCGCCGTAATCTCTACGTCACAGCCTGACTGACCAATAGCTACACGTCTATGGCTTTGGGGCGCCAGCTCCAAGCGCCCCAAAGCCAATAATTTCGGCGATGCTGATTGGCCAAATATTTATTAATTTTCCCTAGCAACATTTTTCAATTGGTTATTTCGCTGCACTTCTGGGGCGCTGGGGCTAGCGCCCCAGAAGAGAAACGATACGTTCTGTGGGTGGAAATGCACTGTTGAATGAAAGTCAGTTGGTGGAAGAGTTGTTTTAATAATTCATATCACATGTAGCCACATATTATTAACTAAAACTGACATTGATAATACTTTAAAAATAAATATATATATTATAACTTTCCCCCTCCACATCTAGGGGGGGGCGGCGCCCCAGCGCCCCCTATGGGCCGGCCGCCACTGGCTAATTGGCTTTTCTAGAAGATTAATGTAATTCATTTCGCTGCGTTTTCCCAATACTCGGTTTGGAACATTTCGACTTGCGTCCCTTACGTCAGACCAGCTCTATATATATATTCATATTCATGCCAAAGGTGGAATTTTTAAGCGTAAGACGTTTTTCTTTTTTTTTTTGTACAGCCCTTTTGGCCATTGATGAATAAGCAATTGGAGTAGCATGTAATGAGACCGAGCTGCCACACTGGCAGACCGAGTTCATTTCAAGAGTGAAACCTTAGCTGTGTTTGCTTGAGGATGTTATTGATTGTGTAGGTGGGCTGGATCCTCCTCCAGGGCTTCCATCCAGCCAAGCAGTCAGCAGTTCAGCTGCTCGTTCTGGCCGGGATGGGAGCAGCTCACAGGGAGATGAAAGGAGGAGAAGGAGAGGCATTATGTCAGAGATGTTGATCTGTTTCACGCTCCCTTCTCCATTTTGAGCACGCTTGAATGTTGGAAAGAGGAGGAAACCGGTGCAAATACCCGCTGTGTGTCAGAAGTGTCGGGGATTCGGATATTTTACATGGTGATGCGTGCAAACGGTTTAGAGACGGAGACCACTCGGAGTCAGAGTCATCCCCTTTTTGGTCCCCGTACCCTTTGAAACGGGTCAGTTGAGAACAACTGGTTTACAGCCATGATGTTGTCCTTTTGGCTCCGTTTGACTTTCAGCATTTTTATGAGCATTTCCATATGGTCAAGTCAGGTTTAACCCTATAATGCCAAATGTATCGTATTTGATACATACAGTTTCTGAAGTCTTTTGGATCTGAGACTTTTTGCATCATTCAATGGTAAAAGCTTTGCTCAAACCCCTGTTGTACACATTCAGATAACAGCCAGTAGAAGACTACACGGAAATATATTTTTGACTTATTGCACGCTAATTTAATCAAAACAATTTCAGAAAGACTTCAGACTAAAAAAAAAATCCAATATTCTTCCTATTTTTCTTGGATCAGGCTTTAAAGGGTTAACTTCGCTATTCGTAAAATCTGACCACACAATCATTTGCCGGGCCAGTTTTTAGGGGCCGTGTGGAAACCGTGAGACAGCTCTCCGCCTCTCTCTTTTCAGGCGACGTGATCGTGGACATCAACGGGACCTGCGTGCTGGGGAAGACGCACGCCGACGTGGTCCAGATGTTCCAGTCCATCCCGGTCAACCAGTACGTGGACATGGTCCTGTGTCGGGGCTACCCGCTGCCGGAGGACTCCAGCAGCAGCGAGGAGGCGCCCGGGGGCGTCGGCGCCTCCAAGGAGGCCTCCCCCTCCCCCTCCGCCTCCACCTCCACGCCGCAGGACCCCCACTTCTCCGTCCCGGACGGAGGGACCCTCTCCAGGCAGGCCGCCTCGGTGCCGGCGCTCAGCAACGGAGGACGCCAGCACCACCACGCTCATCCCCACCACCACCACCACCAACACCACCACCAACTCCACCACCACGCGCCCCCCGCCCAGACCCAGGAGGGCCCCGACCCCACCCTGCTCCAGCCGGAGCTGGTCGGCGTGCCCCTGGTGAAGGGGCCGGGGGGCTTCGGCTTTGCCATCGCCGACTGCCCGCTGGGGCAGAAGGTGAAGATGATCCTGGACGCCCAGTGGTGCCGCGGCCTGCTCAAAGGCGACGTCATCAAGGAGATCAACCGACAGAACGTCCAGACCCTGAGCCACTCCCAGGTGGTGGACATCCTCAAGGACCTGCCCGTGGGCAGCGAGGTCAACGTGCTGGTGCTCAGAGGAGGTGAGTGCCCGGGACCGTCGTCCAACCAGAAGCTCTCATACGACATAAAATATTATGTAAACATCCCATGTGCGCCTTCTGACCAAACATTTCCGACATGTTGTCGTCCATATCTTCAGGTTTTAAAGCAAAGTCCCAAACCAACTTTCTCCATTAAGGAGATATCTCTCTATTTGTCATGCACTCGGCGCATGATCGTGCCGTTTTGGTGCAATAAACGACTCCAGCAACAAATATCAGAATACCAAACAGAGTAAATTACATTCTCACTATTTACAAAGAAAACAGTATCAGATATAAACAGATAAGCACCTTATCTCAGCGACAGTTACAGGTATCCATCGTCTTTCACCTGTTTCACTAAATTTCCCGTTTTTCCGTTAACCAAAAGCAATCAATAGGGGAACCACAGAGGCACATATCGAGCTCCTAAAGGGGAGGAGATGGCGTATCCTCTCTGAAGAAGGGCAAATCCGAGCACTGCAATGTGTGTGAAACGTGTCTTTTTGAAAAGGTTTAATAAAGCCATGTTGTGTGCTGGGATGGAGGGAAAACGGCAGCTTTGGTAACGTAATTGCTTCTGTGGCAGAAATACGGCAAAAAAGGGAAGGGAAGGCCACAGAGGCAGAGGATGGTGGGAAATCATTGGAGGGGGAGTCCATCCATCTCCCTGCCTGTGCTGCTGTGCCGTAGCCTAAATTTCCCCCACAGGTCCGGTGCTCTGAGCGGGCTCTTTGAGCTCAGGGGGGCTGGTTTTGCTCGGCTCGGTACGCAGCCGGCGTTGCATTGGCATATGCTCGGAGCACACGTGTGTGTCGCTGCGTAAAAAGAGAGGAAGATCACAGCTTTGCTGCAGGGCTTCCCGCAGGTCACACACCGGGATTAGATTTGACTTCATCTTCCACCAGCAGCTCCAGCTTCCTCCAAATGACAGCTGTGTTACAGATATGTAGCGGGGAAAATTTGGGACCATATTTGTGGATTTGTATTCAGCGATGCTGCAGACTGCAGTGATATATGACTATGATGATATATGATGTAATCGGTTCCTTTATCTAACATTGTATGGAAATATTCTATAATTTTAAGAAAATATTCTGACCTTTAGATTGATTTGCAGGGTTAACAGCAGAGAAAGAAAGACTATGAACAATAGTTTGAGCAAAACAGGTGTCCCTGAGAGGTCCATGTTCCCCCCCTATGGCTTAAGGTCACTCCTGTTTCTCATCTGTAATAACATGTTAAGATCTGCTTGTATTTGGATCTAGCACCTCCTAGTGTTACAAGTATACTCTCACTCACATGCTCTAAATTGCGACCTAACAGAGATTAAAAAGGAGGGGAAGAACTATTAGAATATGTTAAAGATGCAAAACATAACTGAGTGGTTAAGTGAAGAATACAGTGGTTAAAGTGACCAAAGATACAGAGTCTAAAAAGGGGAAGTGGCAGAGATTTTGTGAAAGATTCGGCTAAAACCTCCATCACCCAATAGACGTGTGGAATTACAAAGAGCGTATGACTCACCCCCTGAAGTGCAGCAGATAAGACGTAAAAACCCACAGTTCCAACAAGCTCGCACGTCAATATTTTACAAAGACTACATTTATTCTTCTGCACAGCCTCTTAGAATAATCTTCTCGCAATTCCCGCTGTTTTGCATCTGTCAAACTGAGTGAGCTCCAGCATCCGTTTCCAATTGATTTATTTGTTTTTGTTTTCATTTTCTGTTGTCAATGCAACTGAGACAAACGCAGACAAATGATGCCTTTGTAAGGAGCTGCAAAAAAGAAAAAAAGAAACGTTCTGTGCTACGTCACCTCTCATGTAGACTCAAACGCTGCATCATCTTTGAGGTTTACGGCTTTTTATGGCTGATTGAATCAAAGGTCAGTGTTTGAAGACTCCACTGAAAATAGCCAGGTACAAAAGCTGAGCTGAGTGGATTTCCAATTAAAAAATGTCTTTTGTTTCTTTACACCACTTTGTGAATATTACAAAAATGTGTGACCATCTAGGATGCCGAATACAAACACATTGACCCGAACAACACTTTAGCTGTATAATCTAGATTTATTCTTGCACATTTAATACAATAACCTCTCCTTTCTCTCTCTGTTCTCAGGTCAGACATCTCCCGTGAAGTCGCTAAAACCAGTAAGTTGAGGTTGTTTGTCCCGTTGTTGGCCTCCCGTTTCGTTGGGTGGGAGAAGCAGCTGCCCCTGCTCTGGTTCCATCAAACAGAAAGCTTTTGTCTGTGTTGCCTACGTGCACGGCTCAGCGCCTGCGCCGCGGCACAGTAGCTGTTGTTAGCTGCATTATTCAGGGAGCCCACATTAGCCAGGTTGTTATTTCTGGAGGTGCATGTGGGTAAATACGCTGGCAAACAGAAAGCCAGCATCCCTCTGTGTCGGGGTGTGGGAGATGATACGGGACATTCAACAGCTTGTCACCGCGCTGCTCCTCCACGTTGCATTTTTGACAACAAACCAGAGCTGAGCAGAAAGAGACTTTTATGCCGTTCTGTTGGTTAAACATAGCATCATTCTGGGCCGATGAAGTATTTTAAGGGTATGTTGTTTAGGAGAGTAAATCCATCTTATGCTTTTTGCTTCAGTTGCTTTTCTATTGCTGCCACCAGTTGGCATAGATATCATTCTATGCTTTTTCAATAAATATGCTCGAAAATGACAACCTAAATCTCATAGCACAGACTTTTTCATTTTTCTTTCTCTGTGTTACAGTGCACGGCTCCCCTGTCCCACACAGTATCCCAGCCAAGCCTTCACCAGGTACCTCATCCTGTGCCCCAGCAGCCGCCCGTCCCCAGCTCCCAGCACACTCTGCAGAGGCAGGAGATGGCAAACAGCACGGAGACCCTCACTCAGCCGGAGGCGCCCCCCAACGCCTTCCCCACAAACGCCGCACGCTCGTCCTCGCCAAAGCCAGACGCGTCTGAGCTCTACCTCAAGTCCAAAGCCCTGTTGGACAGCAAGCGTGAGTAGACTCCGGCCTCCTTCTGAGTGACATTACTGACATCTCAAAAATGGAACACAATGTGGATTTGGGGAAAATATTTATTACTCTTACCAGTGTTCATTTTTATGTAGATGTTTTCCTCTTGCTGCTTTGGTGCCAAATGTATCTTTATCCTTAACAGAGGAAAGGAGCATGGATCTTTTAAATTGGAAAAGTGAACTTGAAAAGAATATATACATCATTTATTCGAAAAGAAAAGATATAAATAATTTTGGTTTCTGTGTTCATACTGATTTGCTTGTAAATCAAAAAACAAAAAGTCTTTCTTGTCTAAAAGGTTTTGAATTTTCACTCAAGGATCCAGGAATTTAGACATCCATTAAAGCTTCAGCTAATTTTTTGTTGATCACTTCTCTATCCACTCTACCCTGCAGCCCCTAATACCAAGGACCTGGATGTGTTCATTAAAAGGAACCAGGAGTCGGGCTTTGGTTTCAGAGTCCTGGGAGGAGAGGGGCCAGATCAGCCCGTAAGTTTCACCCCTGCCATCACCCCAAAAATCTAACCTCTCCCTCATATTTATTGTCTTTTTCAGTTTTTTTGTTATTAAAACATCTAGCTGCTAGCTTGCTACCTTGCTTGAGGGGAAGCAACAAGCCCCAAGCTAGAAACTTGTCTAATCATGGTAGAAATTTAGGCCCACTGTCTAAATAGGCTGGTATGGTTCAGTATAAATCAATTGGAGTTGGTTCTCTAACAAAGCCTGAAGTGGATTTTTATTGGAGATTGAATGTGGCTCTTATCCATAAGCCTCAGAAACCATGTGAGGAGTGTGTAAAATCTAATCTAATGCCTGTGGGAAAACTGATGTAAATATCAGATTTTAGCAAACTCCCCGTGGGTCGGACTGGAAGCTCTTTTTTACGTCTCCAGGTGTACATCGGTGCCATCGTCCCTCTGGGAGCGGCCGAGAAAGACGGGCGCCTGCGGGCCGGGGATGAGCTACTCTGCATCGACGGCGTGCCGGTCAAGGGCAAATCCCACAAACAAGTGCTGGAGCTGATGACCAACGCCGCCCGCAAGGGCCAGGTCATGCTCACCGTCCGGCGGAAACTGGCCAACGCGGGTAGGTCCGCTCTCAGATAATGAGCCCTGGCATTCCTCCGCGGGCCCTTTAATCGCACACACTCGGCTTACTCCTTGGGCCGAGATCAGTACGCCAGAGGAGAACCTCGGAGAAAAAAGGCTTTGATGTGGGATTTTCTCGGTAATCCTTTAGATTTGTTCCGGGTGACTCCCTCGCCGAAGTATTGGAATAAATGAGTTTTGATCAACGCTGACTTTAAGGACGCTGTGCTTTGCAGGCGTTTCCTTGAAAGGAAAGCCCGAGGTTCAGAAGAGGTGCATTTGCTCCCATCACAGTAAAGTATTCGAAAATGTCGAGAGAAATAAAGACATGAATGGACATAAATGGAAAAAACCTACTCTCTGTCTTACCAGTCAAGGCTGATAAGAGTGAACTGATTTGCATCTAAAAAGATGACAAAAAAGAAAAAAAATGTGCTGAGTTTTCTGTTAGTGGAACGCACGCTGCCTCAGCACCGAGGCTGGTTTATCCCCTCAAAACAGCCAATGGATGAGGGGGGACGGGCACTTTTGAAATTACTTCTGGTTTGCTCGAGCAGAAATTAAACATCAATCTTCATGGGTTTATCCTTTCATGGAAGGGGCTTACAAATAGATTACCTGAACTCGTTTTTATAAAAACAGGACCTCTGCAATGCAAACATACAGTAAGGAGAGTTTGAGAACATTTAGGTTGAAGAATATGTTTGTTTTTTTAAAGTCCCGTGATAGAATCACTGTTATTGGATTATTTAATTGTTTATTTTTGTCTACAAAAATTAGTTTGATTTCAAGTGGCCTCCTTAGCTCCAAGAATTGTGTGTTTTGTCATCTTCCAGATGCTGGAGGGGGGGAGGAGGGCAGCCAGCAGCCCCAGCAGGTGGCCTCCGCTCTGGTAAACAGCTCCACCGCCGGGGCGCCCCAGGTGGAGGCGCCCAACACCGCCCAGCCCGCCCCCCCCGCCCCTTCCTCCCGCCCGGAGCGCTTCGACGTCACCCTGCACCGCAAAGACACCGAAGGCTTCGGTTTCGTCATCCTCACGTCGAAGAACAAGCCCCCGCCGGGAGGTTAGAAACGAATTAGCATGCTGTCAGCACCAACAAGCCGGGTATCGGTTTCTCTCTTTTTGGGAACTCAGAGGCTGTCTTACCCCGATTTCAGTCCAATTTCATGTGACTTGACATTCTGAGACCTGCGGAGTCTGAGATGTAACTCTTTTTTGCACTCTCATAGCACAAAAGAGTTTGACCGTGAGTGGAAACTTGATCGGACATGGCATTTTGGTCTAGCCTTGTCTGAATGGGTAATTTCTCTACATCTGTAGGTGTATCATACTTTATAGGTGTCTTCGCTGATCCAAAGTGTTGGGCGTCACGAGGCCTCTCTTTGTCTTCCTCTTTTCTCCAGTCATTCCTCACAAGATCGGACGCATCATAGCGGGCAGCCCCACCGACCGCATCGGTCAGATGAAAGTGGGCGACCGCATCTCGGCCGTCAACGGGCGCTCCATCATGGAGCTGTCGCACAACGACATCGTCCAGCTCATCAAGGACGCCGGCAACTCGGTCACCCTCACCGTGGTGCCCGAAGACGGTAGGTGGCCCCGGCGGCGGCTCATTTCCGTGGAGCTAATTCCCAAAGGGGGAGCTCTCCGGGAATGCTGACGCGATCCGTGTCCTTACAGACAGCTCTCCACCGTCCGGAGCCAACTCCGCCAAGCAGAGCCCCTCGGCCCAGCACAGAGCCGTAGGCCAGCAGCCGCCCAACCACCAAGACAGGTGAGCCTGCAGCACGAAGGGCAGTTAGCTGGTTAAATCTGTGAAAATCCAAAGGGTGCACATTTCTGGAAAATCCCAAACAACGACTGAGCAGCTACCAAGCTCGCTAAAAGGAAAGAAAAGAAGCAGTCTGTTTTAAATTTAGCCAGTTTTTGAGTGAGATTTAGGGAAATAGATCACCCATTCCCATGTTAAATGTGTAAAAAAAAGTCCAAAGAAGATTAATCAGGATGACCGTATGTTGTAAAAGAGTAGACCCAGCAATAAAAGGGGGATGTGTCTTCGGTGGGGGAAAGTTAAGGGAAAATCATGTATCTAACCCGGTTAATCAGAAGTTGATAGATCATGCTTTGAGTTCATGTTTCTGCCAGTGGGGAGGGAAGAGCGTGGTGATGATCCTAAACCCATCTGGAACTGTGAGTTTCCCTCAGGAAGTGCAAGCCAATTGTGTCCAATAACCGTAACCTTACACAGAGCCTCGCAACACCGCTACACATGTGGTCATTCCTTGTGGTCATTCTTTGGATGGGAAGGCAGAGAAAAAGGGGGATAGATTAAGACGGAGCATCACTGCCTCTTTGATCTTTCTTTCCAAGTCAGATTAGCTGCGTCACCGACTCAGTTCCCCCCCTACCACACACACACACACACACACACACACACACTCACACTCCTCCCTCGCTGCTTAATCACGACACGCGCTCTGGGCCGGCCCCCGTCTAGTAAACCTTCAGATAGCCCGTCAGCGCCGCTGAGTTCCAGCTAAGGCGTTGTTGTAATGAGCTCTGCGAGGAATTAAAGCGCGCCCCTCCACTATCTCGCCTCGAAAATGTAAAAGCAACACGGCTCTGTGGAGGACTTAGGTCTCCCCCCCGTGCGCTGTATCATGGAGCGAGCAGAGGGAGGCTTCTGCTGCTTATAATGAAGACGTGGCCACGTGTGGAGCAAACGGCAGAGGAAGGAAATAAAAAGAATCCCTCCTCCGTTCTCTACTCTGAGTCTCTTATTGAGGAGGTGTACAGTTTGTGTTAAGCTGTCCGTGTATAGAATGACTAAGACAAGCGTTTTTTTAAATGTTTTTTTTATTATTCTTACAGAATTGGAACACTCTAGTCCAGTTTTTCCTCTTTCCGTTTGATGTTTTACTGACTTGCCAAAGGTTTTAATGGCAAAAGACTCTTTGTGCTTTCTTACATGTTGTGTGGATAGAGTATTCTGAATTACTCTATTTAAGAATGTTCTTAAAGGGGACACTGTTAAAGGGACGCCATCCCAGCTCTTGGTGGTTTCCAGGGTATTCTCTGGGTGCCTTGGATGTGGGCCCGAAGGACCTGTTTATTTTATTGATTTCCTCAACCTTTTTATAGCTGTATTTTAAGAGCTATGAGCACAACCACCTGAGCCTTTTTAATATTTCATCGGCTGCCATTAAGTGAATGCCCACAGCTTTCGGTACATACATTTATTCAAGCAGGTGGACTATGAGAATGCGAGCGCTCCCATGAATAATTGAAAGCTTTATTGATGTAAAATAAGTTCAGTGAAATGAATGAAAATTCTTCTCGATCTACATGACAGTCCTACATCCACAGAAATGGAGTGAGTAGAAGCACGTAGTGTAGGTGTACCTCCAGAAGACCCAAAATGCTTGGAACTCTCAACACATCATTTAGGATCAAGTGAAAACTGGGGCGAGGGAGATTAGAACCAAAGACTTTATTCTTCTTCTAAGGATTGTAGGAAGTAAGCTGGAGATCTTTTGTAAAATGTGCTGTAAACCTATGTATTCTTACGCCTGCAGAGGTGTCACAAAGCCCATCTCAGTGGGTCTAACATGTGGTGATGTGTTTGCTGTTGTCTGTGTGGCAGGAACGGGGAATCTGAGGTCAAGGGCTCTGCCTCACCAACCGAGATGGGAGCGCTCATCCCATCAGGCCCCAAGCAGGTGAGGTTCTAGCATTCCTCAGGTTTAAGTAAGCTACTACAAATAACCACAGAATGACTTGATTGAAATGGTCTGTACTGAGGATCTGAAGCGTCTATCTTAAAAAGCCATATACAGCCCCGCTGAGTAAAATTTATCTTGAGCCACAAAACCCACTGATCATTGAAGAATTACTTCTATAGTTTCATACAAAAACCGTCAATAATGAAAAATGTATTTATTTAAAGTAGTTCAGTACAGAATGCTCTTAAAAACGGCCATAATGACTTCAAGCATTTCACTTTTGTGAAGAACAAAAGTCTACTTTTTTATAGGCCTTCGTTGAAATAGATTAAACATAGAACTTCAAAGGTCTATTTGAGTCCCAGAATAGAATGGTACCATAAGTAACCCACTGTGAAATAAGCTAAATGTAGATCTGCTTCCTGAAAAATGAATATACATTACTCTAATGTGAGATTTTTTTTTCTTTTTCCAAACCAAGCTGATGTCCAACCACAGCTCAGTTTAACTGAGCATTTAAATGCAGCATTTTGAGAAATGTCAGAGCCACACTATCAGCTGCATCTGCATTAAATACAAGCATTTTATTTGGGAAAAAATGTTTGCATTTATTTGCATAAAAGCGGACATTAGATAAGACACGCCCACATTTTGCTCTTGCCTTTACCAGTCATGTCATTTTTAATTCTTTTAAACTGCTACAGCTTCTACTCCTGGCTGTTAAGCAGACTAGAATCACACTGACTCTGGCTCTATCTAGTGACTCAAAGTGGGATTACAGTAAAGATTTGTTCCATCCCTAAAGTTACTCTTCTGTATATCTAAGCTGTATATGGCATATATTGTTCTTTTATACTGTCATATCTTGTTTTTTTTTAAATGTTGATAGCTACAGTAGATTTTGAAATGAAAATAAACGATTTGCAGACTACTTTTTTATTTTAATCGACTAATTTTCCGTATTGCTGTCCCCCTGTCTGTGACCTGCAGGGCTGCTTCGTGGTGGAGCTGGAGCGCAGCCAGCGGGGCTTCGGCTTCAGCCTGAGGGGTGGGAAAGAGTACAACATGGGGCTGTACATCCTGCGGCTGGCGGAGGACGGGCCGGCCCTGAACGACGGCAGGATACACGTGAGTGTCTCCTCCATTTTTCACTTTAACAGGAAGACAGTCGCACCCATCCCCGCCTATACGAGCACATTCATCCTGTCTGCTTTGCAGCCATCTTGGAAATGGATCTTGAATGGATTCTTTTTTTCTGCGCTGCAGGTTGGAGATCAGATCGTGGAGATCAACGGCGAGGCCACGCAGGGCATCACGCACACCCGGGCCATCGAGCTGATCCAGGCGGGGGGGGGCAGAGTCCACCTGCTGCTCCGGCCCGGACAGGGTCTGGTTCCTGACCACAGTGAGTCGCTGCTAAGGGCCACAGTCACAGAATCTTAAAAAGCACTTTAAAATCAGGCACCTGTGGTGTGGACTAGTTCCATAGCAGGGAGGGGGGGGGGGGGGTGTCTTTTTTTTCTCGTGCATGTTGTGCGAGCTTCTCTCTTGACTCTTTTCTCTCATTCTTTTGGACTAATTCTATCCCGATCTGTCTCTGGGCTTTCTCTGATTTCTGCACCAGCACGGCCGTCTGTTTCTACCTCTTTATCTCTTCCTCCCCTAGGTCTGAACTCTCCTTCCACCATGTGCTTCTACATGAAACCAGAGCATCACTAAAGGCCTCACTGCTTTTCTTGGTCTGTCCCTAATAACCTTGGTAAAGCTCCTTGTATTTTTGTGCCTTCAACCTCGCTTTTTTTTTTCGAAGCGATTCATCTCCCAGAACTTAATGTTGTCCGCCATCTTTCACTCTGTCCTACTACTGGTCATGTGTCAGTCAAATCAGGAAGAGATCCTATTAGGAAAATGCTTACATAAACAAAATTATTTGTTTAAACTTTTATGCATGAATCCATCTGCAGTACTTAATCAGTTAAAGATATGATAAAGAGGGGGGATAAAAAGTAAGTCCCTTAAAGTCTGTCTTTGAGAGACATTTCGGTTAAGTAATCTGTTCAAGCATTAGTCCCCCCGTTTTTTATCTTTTTTTTTGTTCAATCCTGAAATGCAGGAATGGAAAATGGCTGTGACTATACCAGAACCATCTTTGGTTTGTACTCTCTGTATGTTCACACCATATGTAGACAGCTCCCCAATTTATTCCGATTCGGGCTTGTCCGATTGGTGTAATTATCCCGATTTAAAGCAGGGAGTCCCAGCAGAACCAACAAAAAAAAAGAATGAAGTTACTCATGAGATTTTGCAGAGGGAGTGCCAAAACTAGCGGTAAAAGGATCGACGCACATTCCAGGGTGTCGATCTTTTAAATTTCAATGGCCAACCGGGATGAATTTCTACGAGCTAAAGCTCCTAGAAATCCTAAAAAAAAAAAAGCTCATTTCAGCTCATTCCTGCTATGTCCATCATTCTTTTTTCTTTTCTTTTCCCTCTCCCTCTACGCTGGGCAAAGATTCCTACAGAGATTTTTAAGGGTCAACACAGGCGCTCTGCTTGGGATATTTTAGCCTTTTGGAACCCATGCCATTGTTTTTTTGTTTGTTTGTTTTTTTGTCCAGCTGGAAACCTTTCCTAACTCACCGTTGGGCCGTTTTGTCTCTCAGGTTCAAAAGACAGAGCGGCGGTCGTGACGTCCAGCTTTCCCAGACCCCCCGCGTCCGACGAGCAGCCCCCGCCCCCCGTGTCCCCCTCGGCCTCCCCGTCCTCCACCAAAACCCTCACCCCCGACGAGCTCTCCGAGGGGGACCCCGGGTCGGGAGGACGGCGGCCGGCCCGCGCCGGCGAGTCCGGTGGTCCCAAAACTGACCGGGCGGAGAGCCCCCAGAGCCCCCGGAGAGCGGGGCGGGCCCCCGCCGGCTCTCTGGAGGACGTGAGCGGGGAGAGGAGCGCCCAGGGCCAGAGGGACCAGCGCTCCTCCAGCCCCAGGAAGGGCCCCAGGAGGGAGCCCGACCCGGCCCCGCCCCCAAAGGACCCGGACCAACCGCAGAGCCCCAGACGCCCGGCCGGACAACAGCCCGGCAGCGCTCAGGCCGGAGACGCCAGGGACAGGAGGCAGAGGCCGGAGGACGGGGACAAAGGCGAGCGGCACAGACGGGGGAAGAGGGCCGAGAGGGAGGCGGGGGACGCCCACACCGGCCCGTCCAATCAGAGGAGCGGGAGGGAGAAGGCCGACCGGCAGCACGGGGGTCCGGAGGACGGGGGCCGGAGGGAGCCCCGAGGCTCCAGCAGCAGCGTCCAGGACCCCGCCTGCAACGGCAAGAAGGCCTCCATCACCCCCGGCCCCTGGAAGGTCCCCAGCTCCAACAAGATCCAGACCAACGCCGACACGCCCTACGCAGACATCTGAAACGCTTTCCGCAGGCCTCCGAGAAGCCAACAGGAACAGGAGGATGTTTTTGTAGACGTTTCAGATATAGCGGATCACTGTGTAACCAGCCACATAGCTTCTCATCGATCTTCTTCTTTGTTTTTTTTTGTTGTTTTTGTTTATCACCCAGTTTGCCTCAGACAGTTTGCATCAAGCTGCTGACCTCTGACCTGTCCACATGAGTATTTATACTGTACAAACCGTGCGTTGGCACGTGTGTTGTCTGCGTGTGTAACCGATGGGTATCAAGAGTGAGTTTTCTGTCTTTTGTTGTTTTGTTGTTTTTCTCTTTTTTTTTTTTTTTTGTGCCAATCAGAGACTGCGGTGATAAGGAAGCAGCTCCTGATAGCCCTCACTGTGAAACGGTCAGTTCGTGACCGGCTGAAGTACTGGACGTCTCTGCCCGACCAGATGAAGAACCCGGCCTTATTGAAGGTTTAAAGGCACATTCACGTTCTCACATGCAGATTCAAATTGAGCCCCAACTGGTTGAAGAAAAAGTGAGACTGTTTGTTGTCTTGTAAAATAACCAAGAAGGAAAAGCGTGTCTTATAAGTCAGTCAATGTCTGTTTTTTCGAGAACTTGTGTTCGTCTGAAGATATGAGCCCCATTTGGGTCAGAAGAGTCACTCTGTGGCTTTATATGCATCAATAAGCAGACCAGATACTTGTGGTTATAGTTCTAATGTTTGCTACATGTAATGATAAAGCATCATGTACTTTATTGAGATCTTATGAAAACGGTCAGTACACACGTCCATGCAGGATCATTTCACTTTTGAAGTGAAAGCAAAGCATGTAGATAGCATAGCCGATTTTATAAAAAGAATTCCACCCTAAAATCTGCAAACTATATATATTGTTCATGGGATGGTGTAAACAGCCTGAATCATTACGTTTGTTTACTGTAAGCAGCACTGTGCACGTACACAAACTGGACGATGATGGGCCGATGTATTTTAGGTATCGTCAACAATAATTCATCTGAAAACATGTTATTCCACAAAGTGATTTTTTGTACACTGACCGGTGATTTAGACCGATTGAATTAACAGAACCAGAATTACAAAAGGTGAAAACTCCACCTACAGTTTACTTCAAGCTTCAAGAACTATGTGTATTTTTAATGAAAAAAGTAGTGTTTTTTTTGTTTTTTTTCAATTGGAACCTATAAGTTATGTGTTTTCTTGTATGTCACACATTTTTCTAGGTTAAGGTTTTTGTCTTTTTTGGTTTCTGGTAGATTGTTGTCACTATTGCCTCATTAACAAACCTCCAAAGTACACAGCAGATCTTCCTTTGTTCAGCGGAAAGTGGGAACAGGTCTGTGCTGCTTCCACAGTAGATTGTTTAGAACACACAATATTTTTTTATCAAACTAGGATTTAAAATCATTATGAAAAAAACTGGGGAAAAAAGATGGGGATTCATTAGAAGCCTTCATATCAATCAACTGTGCCCTGTACTAAATACAAAATGTAGCATTCTACATTTCCACTGTGGACTGTAACTAATGCTTCACGAAACTCGCAGCTTAATTCTGGCCCTCATTTGCCTGCTTAAATATATGAATTAGTGAGACATACATATGTTGTTCTGTGTGACCACTTAATAATTTACTATGAAGTTATTGCTGATGTTGGGCAACTAATGTTTACTGCCCGAGTCATTCCCATGTCCGAGAGTGTGGCCTTGCATTGCTCCAACATATTTAAAAATGAAGTCATAGTAATGACATCACAGTAGTTGTAAATGTTTATAAATTGTACAGCACCTGTATAAATAATTGCCTTCACGCAGAAAAGAAAAATATTCTCTGTAAATCGTTTCATTATTTTTTTAAGGGAACGGAGAGGAAATTATATAGAAATGGGTGAAAAGAAATTATTTGGTTATGGCATAAAGTTCATGCACTGAGAAATAAAGGTTTACTGATTTAAAAAAGTACAGAGTTTTGTCTTTACTCCTTTGATTTATTAAAAGTATTTATGCATGAATGCAGAAGTCAAAGTAACATTTCACAGTTCAAATTGATGTTTTTCACAGGATTTATTGTATATGCTCAGCATCTGTCAAGTGATGTACAACAAAACCGATACTTCAGAAACTAAGAAAAAAACGGTTAAAAAATGTATATTTTACAAGAAACGCTCTTCACAGACACAACTATCTAATGGAAAAAGTTCAGCAGAATTTTAATAGGTTTTGTCGATGTCAATGTCTAACTTTGTTTTTGTTCTGTCATCTTCTTTTGTTTTTATTCTTTCTCATTAGTCTTTTCTTGCTCCCTAAATAGTTGTTCTTTTGTATTCTGTAATGCTCTTTGTTGCGTTTGCGTGATTTTTTAAAATTCCATGTTATATTGAGTTGTTTTGTTTTGATAAAGTTATGTTTTAAATTGTCGCTAGTTCCGTTTTTGAGTGTTTTGAGTTATGTGTTTCTTTTCGTACTGGTGTGTGTGTTTTATAGACTGTAATGTTTTGTTTTGTTGACATTTCGCCAACTTTATTGTACTTCCTTGTTTTTTACGTCTAAATTTGCCACCATTATCTTTTTTTCTAACATTTTAACATCTTAAGTTTCAGTTTGCTCAGTTGCTTCCTAATACAAATAACTTCTTTCCGTCCTACCTTGCTATTTATCAGCTTGATTCTTCACAACTGGCTAATCTTTCTCTCAGCTGTGGACAGTGAAGTACTCCCTCTCGTGGGTATGAGAAGAGGAACCATGACGTCAGCTGAGCGGTGTTGAGTGCGTGCTGAGCGGCACGCAGTCAATGCGGTCTAAACTCCAACTCCAAAGCAAACGCACACTACGTTCCCCACAATGCAACCCATGCGCGTGCGCACACTGTCGCCGTAGACTACAAATTCAAAGAAGAGAGGACTACAATTTGACGCGCGCGTGCGCAGTGGCGGCCGAAAGCCCTTTAAATGTATCGTACGTGCAAAGATGGCAGCTCAGGTCGACTTACTCCGGGCGAAAATAAAAGATGACAGAATGAGGGACAGCTTGGAGAGATTCATCAAAGAGAAAAAAAAGAAGAAGAAAAGGGACCTGTCGCCGTCGGCTGACAAGCTGGGGAGGTGTGAGAAGGAGGCGAAGAAAGTGAAGCTCCATCACCACCACCACTTCCACCGACACGCTGAGCACCGGGGCGGGCAGCCGCAACGGCTCCAGCAGAAGCCCGAAGCCCACCACTTCGGTTCGGACGTTCTCCACACTCACCACCCCCACCACCACCTCCAGCACGGCCACAGCCTCAGCAACGGCTCCAACAAGAGCCTGGAGCCGAGTTTCCCGCCGCCTCAGCGGCTGCAGAAGAAGGCGGCGGCCGTGGCGGCGCCCTCCTCCTCCTCTTCCCAGCCACCTGCGCTTTTCACTTTCCCGCCCCTCAAAGTGGCGAAGGCCACGCCGCGGGTCCCCCCGCACAAACCCCGGGAGCGAGACGTGGCGCTGACCCTCAAACAGGAGAACTCCGAAACCAACACGAAACACGCCGAACTGAAGAAGAAGAAAGGTGAGCGTCTCTAGCATGTTTGTTTTTGTGTGGGTGTGGGGGGGGGTGTAAAACGCTATGTTAGGGTCAGTTTGGTCCGTGGCAAAAGTTCAAATATCAGTCTTGGTTTCGTCCATATTCTCTGCTCTTTTTGCTGCTAAATGTATATATTTTTTAAAGGTTTGTTGCACTAATAACACAGGTGTATTGCTATTATTGCACAGGAACAATGGTAATGTTACCTGTTTAGTCTGTCTTTTTGCTGCTGTGACAATATCACATTTGGGGTATCAGTAAAGTTTTATTCTAATCTATTCTTTTTTAAAGAAATCCTCATTAAACTTTAATAGAAATCTGTCTGTCATTAAAAAAAAAACAGACTTAAGTCTGCATAATTGATATTTTCTGTTTTTACCACATAATTAAACATATATTCACATATATTAAGTAAATTATGCCATGCATGAAAAAGTATTGGCTGCAGTTTGTCTTACTGTCCCAACTTAAAATGTAACACAGAGCTGTGTAACCATTTTATTCTATTCAAAACTATCTATTCTACCTAAAAGGACAACAGGTGGGACTATTTTCTGCCTTTAAAAAAAAAAAAAATTGCAATTGGCTTCAAATAAGAATCCTGCAGAAACTTTAAGCAGTCAGAAAAAATACAATTAATGTGTTCATTAATTTCAATTAATCTCATACCCTTATAAGCAGTCAAAAATAGAAAATGATGACAAAAGGTACATGTCAATTGGGAAGGGTTAAATAAAATATAAATATGAGATGTTTGCATGGTTAATTTAGTGGATTGTGGTCTTATAGCTGCAGATCAAAGTATTCAAAAGCCTCTGATTGGGTTTAACTGTAAATGGGTCATATGTGGTGTTCAGCGCTCCCTCCTGTGTGTGTGTGTGTGTGTGTGTGTGTGTGTGTGTGTGCGCACGAGGCCTGCTTTCCTAACTTCTAACCATCTGTGCATCTGCAGAGCCCAGGCCCCACAACGAGAACGGCAAAGCCCTGACGTTGGAGGAGTATCTCCTCAAAAAGAAAAAGAAGAAGAGGAAGCACCACGAGGGAGATCACCGGGCCAAAAAGCCCAGGCGCGTCCACAACAAGGCGGTTCAGACGGAGGGGGCGGGGCCCGGGGCTGACCCCTCCACGCCCGGGCGCCACCACGCCGCCCCTCCGCCCGCCGGCGTGAAGAAGGAAAGCGGGCGCCACCCGCCCTACCTCCACGCTCTCAAAATGGCCCGCACCCCCTTCCTCTCCCACCACGAGCACTCCATCCGCAGCTCCTGCCTGCAGACGGGCGGCGGGCACGGGCGCCTCATGCACGAGGAGAAGCAGGCCAACGGCGGCGGGCGGGTGCTGCACGCCTACGCCGACGAGCTGGCCCCCCTGCCCCCCGCCGACCTGCAGGCCTTCGCCCGCGAGTTCCTGGAGCTGGCCTTCAGCGAGAAGCCCCGGGGCGCGGCCCGCTACGCCCTGACCGTGGTGCACGGCGCCGCCACCTACCTACCCGACTTCCTGGACTACTTCGCCTTCAACTTCCCCGGCACGCCGGTCAAAGTGGAGATTCTGGGCAAGAAGGACATCGAGACCACCACGATCGGAAACTTCCACTCTCAGGTATGAAGCAGTTAATTAGAGAAACGACGGCCTTGGGAGAAGGCCGATGATTTAGAATCTTTGGGAAGCAACCGAGTCCCAACTGAGGGCCCATCTTTGTGGAATTTGTATGTTCTCTCCTTGTGTATCCATGTTATCTCGGGGTACTCTGGCTTCCAGCAGCCGTATGAGGTAATCGGTGACTCTACATGGCCCATAAGTTGGAGTCTGAGTGTGGTTTGTCTGTCCAGTCTGTGTGGCCCTGTGATGGAAATGAAAACTCATCCAGTGTGTACCCAGTGTAATCTGGGGTAGGGCATAAGTGATATAGGAAATGGATGGATGGATGGATGGGTATCAAATGCCCCACATCATTTCCCTGCTGATGTGTATCCAGCTTTGGATAGAGATATCTGTTAGGTTCACAAACCAGGTTGATATTGTGTTCCCAAAAGAAGCGTCCAGATCTTGATGACTGTGAGCTGCTGGAGTGATAAATCTAACAGCATCTGTGGTGAGGTTGGTGTATGGATTTCCAAACGCCTCATGGCCTGTTATGGTTTAAGGGGATTTTATCTAGAAGCAAATAATCCATCAGGCTAAACACTTATCTCTGCTTCCGCTTAAAGCTTAGCGTTCCTCACCATATTAAAAAGAAATATTATTTGAGACAAAAAAAATATATAATCTAAAGAGTTATCAGTGTGTGGTTTAAGTTTACAGTTTGAAGTTTCCTCCCCTGCAGGTGAGCAGGACTTACTGTTCAGGAACGTATCGCGCCGGCCCCATGAGGCAGATCAGCCTGGTGGGAGCAGTGGACGAGGAGGTCGGAGACTACTTCCCAGAGTTCCTAGACATGCTGGAAGAGTCGCCGTTTCTTAAGGTACCAGGAGGATTATTCTTTTTTTTTTTTAAGGCCAGAAACCGTACTGATGCCCCAACACTGTGTTTCGTGTGAACTTTTGAGCACGGGTCTGATTGGATTTGACATGTGTTTTTTGTGTTCATCCAAAAAACTAAGTAACAAAAATTTGAAAAACTTGGCAAACATGGGTTTGAGTCTGAATGTCTCCCTCAGTACTACTAGCTAGACTTGTCAGCCAAGGAGTTTTAAATATGCTCCATACATACATTCATACAATAAATTGTAGGTGAAGACAAGTAAAACTGAATGATAGATAGAGCTACTATGATTCTATCTTTTTTTTATTTCATGTCTATCTTTTTTCAAATGAAATACTGATTATTTAACTTTTTTTTAACCTTTCAATCTATTTGAAATGGACCGAAGGATTTGGGTTACCCCAAGTAGGAAGCCTAGCAGCTCAGTTTTAAAATAAACCAGTAAATATCAGATTTGACAGAGTTATGGATGCTGGGTATGAAACAAACCCAGCTAAACAAAGGAGGCATTAGACAGGGAGCAAAATGGCTGTGTAACGAGAACGTCCAGAAGGGGGAGACAAGTCCCTGCACTGGACAGGTGATGCAGTAGAACAAAAGATGGAGACAAAACACTTGCAGTAACATGTGATCTGTGTCAGAACTTTTGCAGGTTTTGATGGAGCGTCCAATGCTCCATCATTAGATCTTTAAATGACTCTCAACGGCAGTTTTTTGTTTTTGTAAACTACATGTGGTGGCATTTAATCCAGACAAGAACTCACGACTGTGTCCACGTGTGTCCATGTGTTTAACCCCAGATGACCCTGCCATGGGGCAGCCTGTCCAGCCTGAAGCTGGACTGCCGCTCCCAGAGCGACGACGGGCCCATCCTGTGGGTGCGCCCCGGGGAGCAGATGGTCCCCACGGCCGACATGCCCAAGTCCCCCTTCAAACGGCGCAGGTACCAGCTCACACGTTGAGAAAAAACCCCGAAAATGGCCGTGTCATTTTTTTTTTTAAATGGGGGAGGATGCAGCCTTTGTGAAACAGAAAGCACAACCTCTTTTTTTTTCTTGTACCTGGTAACCAAAAAAAAGAGCGACAGATCTGCTTCTTAGTAGGTCTTCTGAAAAAGGGAAATACGAAGAAAGGATTAGATTAGATGGCATGAGTGCCTCCATAAAAATAGACATGTCTACTGGCACAAAGCTAAAGAAAAAAGACGTCTGCATCTTTAGACCCAAAGATTTTTTAAAAGCAAAAACTGTGAAGACAACAAAAAGTAACTGATACATAATTCTGGATGGCAGCAGTGTCAAAAGATAGTCCTGATGATTTCCTGCTTCATCACACCCGATTCACACCTATGGGCCACAGGCAGACTCGTGCAGAGCTTTTGACCAGATCCGCTTTTATCAGAATCGGGTGCGTTGAAGGCGGGGACGCTTGTAAAACTCGCGGCACGGCATTAGAAAAACTGGAAGTGGACACACCTGCTTTAGGATGTACTTCCTGTTTCATGAACCTGAGTGGAATATTAAGGAAAAGCAGTAACTGGCCAATGTGCAAAGTGACGGTCATCCACAGCCTGTTGTCCGGTTGCCCAGGTCCATGAACGAGATCAAAAACCTGCACTACCTCCCGAGAGCCAGCGAGCCCCGAGAAGTTCTGTTTGAGGACCGGACCAAGGCCCACGCCGACCACGTAGGCCAGAGTTTCGACTGGCAGAGCACGGCAGCTGTGGGCGTGCTCAAAGCCGTCCACTTCGGAGAGCAGTAGGGTTTTTTTTAATTCTTTTTCTTTCATTCGCTGCTTGATAGAATGTTTTTAATACGATGTAACCATTCAATTAAATCCCCTGCAGGGATAGCCGGCCTCGGGTAACCAAAGATGTGGTTTGTTTTGATGCTGGGGACTTCAATGATGTGGTCCAAAGGCTACAGCTGGATCTGTATGAGCCCCCTGTCTCTCAGGTTAGAAGTGTGTGTGAACATATATGTGTGTATATACATTGGGGGAAATAAGTATTTGACCCCTTGTTGATTTTTGCCGGTTTGCCCACTTACAAAGAATGCAACAATCTATAACTTTAATCATATGTACATTTTAACAGTGAAAGACAGAATCCCAAAGAAAATTCCAGAAAATCACATCATATGAATTAATAAAAATTGATACCCATCTGATGAGGAAAACTAAGCATTCTTTGTAAGTGGGCAAACCTGCAAAATCAGCAAGGGGTCAAATACTTATTTCCCCCACTGTATACATGTCATATATATATATATAATGACTGATGTGTGTGTGTGTGTTGTTTTTTTGCCTAAAAGTGGTCACCCTAACGTGTCTTTGTGCAGTGTGTCCAGTGGGTGGACGATGCTAAGCTCAACCAGCTGAGGAGGGAGGGCATCCGCTACATCCGGGCCCAGCTTTGTGACGACGACATCTACTTCATCCCGAGAAACGTCATCCACCAGTTCAAGACGGTGTCGGCCGTGTGCAGCCTGGCCTGGCACATCCGGCTCACGCAGTACCACGCCGAGGACACGGCCACGCAGGAGGAGCAGCAGCCCACTGACCTCAGCCCCGCCTCCGGCCGGCTGTCCTTCTGCTCCCCCGCCCGGCCCGACTCCACCCTGACCCCCTGCGCCCGACCGCAGGGGGACGCCGTCCAGGGCGGGGTAGCCAAAACCCAAGAGCCGGAGTTCCAGAGGCCGGCCACCCCCTCCAGGGAGCCGCAGCCGGCCCCCCCACAGCCCACTAAATCCACCCACCCCCCCCAAACGTACCGGGACCCGTCTGTCCCCTCTGGGTGCACGCCTTCCAAGGAGCCCTCCCTGCCAAAGCTCCACGGCCATACCACACAAATCCCAAAATGACCATTCCCCCCCCCCCCCC